GATGTTGAGCATTTTTATTTTCATTTTTTAAAAACCATTTTATTTTTATTTTTTAATTGAGACAAGGTCTTGCTCTGTCACCTGGCCAAGAGTGCAGTGGCATCATCATAGCTCACTGTAACTTCAAACTCCTGGGCTCAAGCAATTCTCCTGCCTCAGCCTCCCAAGTAGCTGGGACTACAGATGTTTGCCACTGTGCTGGGCTAATTTTTTCTGATTTTTAGTGGAGATGGGGTCTCACTTTGCTCAGGCTGGTCTTGAACTCCTAAGCTGAACAATCTTCCCACCTCAGACTCCCAAAGTGCTAGGATTACGGGCATAAGCCACTGCACCCAGCCAGTGAATGATACTTTAAAATGTGCGGTTGAATTTGGTTTGCTAGTATCTTGTTGAGGATTTTTACATATATATTCATCAGTTATATTGGCCTTAGTTTTCTTTTTATGTTGTGTCTTTGATTTTAGAATCAGGATAGTGCTCACCTTGTAGAATGAGTTTGGCAGTATTCCCTCCTCTTCAATTCTTTTGAAATAATTTGAGAAGAGTTGGTATTAGTTCTTCTTTAAATGTTTAATAGAATTTTGCAGTGAAGCCATCAGGTCCTGGAGTTTTCTGTGATGGCAGACTTTTTTGTTGTTGTTTTTTTTTTTTTTTCATTTGACAGTCTTGTTCCATTGCCCCAGGTAGAGTGAGGTGGCATCAGCCTAGCTCACAGCAACTTAAAGCTCCTGGCCTCAAGCAATCCTCCTGCCTCAGTCTCCAGAGTAGCTGAGAGTACAGGTGCATTCCACCACGTGGCTAATTTTTCTATTTTTAGTAGAGATGGGGTCTAAGTCTTGCCTAGGCTGGTCCCAAACTCGTGGCCTAAAGCAATCCTCCCACCTCAGCCTACTAATGTGGTGGGACTATGGGTACAAGCCACACCTCACAAAGGTGAGTTTTTTGTAGCTAGTGTATAGCTGGGTCCCCCCCCCTTTTCTTTCCCTATTAATAAATCCATGTTTCAACCCCTCTATGTGTTTTAATTGGAGAATCTAATCCATTTGCATTCAGGTTGTTATTGATAGGGAAGGGCTTGCTACTGCCATTGTGTTACTTGTTTTCTGGTTGTTATGTAGATGCTTTCTATTTTTTCCCCCATCTTATTGTTTTCCTTTGTGGTTAAATAATTTTCTCTAGTAGTATGTTTTGATTTTGTGGTATTTATTTTCAGAGTATTTTATAGTTACAATGAGGCTTACATATAATATCTTATAACAGGTTATTTTAAACTGCTAACAATTTCACTTTGAGTCCAAAGAAAAGAAAAATAACAAAAACAAACTCTTCACTTTAACACCAGCCCCTCCATATTTTGACCTTTTGATGTTTCAACTTTACTTTCTTTATATTGCCTCCTAACCAATTGTTTTAGTTATTATTGTCTTTAATAGTTTTTAATCTTCATACATAAGATGTAAGTGGTTTATATACCACAATTACAGTATTATTCTAAATTTGTATTCTTACTTTGATCTGTGAGTTTTATACTTAAAATTTTTTTTGTTACATATTAGCATCTTTATCTTTCAGATTGAAGGACTACCTTTAGTATTTCTTATAAAACAATTCTGGTGTTGATGAATTTTCTCAGCTTTTGTCTGTCTGCAAAAGTCTGTCCTTCGTGTTTGAAAAGCTTTGCTGGGTCCAGTATTTTTGGCTGACAGTTTTTTTCCCCCACAGTATTTTGAATATATCATCCCTCTCTCTCCTGGCCTTCAGGGTTTCTGCTGAGAAATTCACTGCAAACTGTATTGAGGCTCTGTTGAATGGGATGTTTCTTTTCTCCTGCTGCTTTGACTATTCTTTGTCTTTGATTTTTGATAATTTGATTATGATGTGCTGGGGAATGACTCTTTGGATTGAATTTGATTGGTGGCCTCTGGCCTCTGAGCTTCCTGTACCCAAATGTTGTCATCTTTCTCCAGATTTGGGAAAATTTCAGCCACTATTTCTTTAAATATGCTTTCTAGGCCTTTTTCTCTCTCATTTCCTTTGGAAACTCTCATTATTTGTGGAGATTAGTTTGCTGGATGGTGTCCCATAGTTCTCATAGATCTTATTCACTCTTTTCCTTTTTTTGTATTTCTGATTGGGTAAATCCATATGTTCTGTCTTCAAGCTTGTTGATTCTTTCCTCAGTTTGATCAAGTATTCTGTTGAAACTTTCTAATGACATTTTCAGTTGAATTATTGTATTATTTATTTCTAGGATTTCTATATATATTTTTATAAATTGTTTCTATTTCTTTGACATATTTATCTTTTTGTTCCTGGTTTGTTTTCCAAATTTCATTTAATTTTCTATCTGTACTTTCTTGTGACTCCCTGAACTTCTTTAACACATTGACTGCCACACTAGAAAAAGAATTTCCTTGGCGCCATGGTGTTTTATTACAAAAATAGACTGAAAACTTTAAAAAACAAAATGATCCTTTCTGTCCAGTCTACAGTCCTCTGCTCTACCAGCTGAGCTATCAAAGGGTGTGCAATCGTTTCTAATTCAATGAAAGACAAAATTTATTGACTTTTATTCATTTAATCCATATTTTTAGAATTGATTTTTCAATATTAAGTGTAACAATAAAAACATTAACAAGTAAGATTTTCATGAACCAATTTCAGGGTTTTGCCCAGGTTTTCCTTCACGATATCCCAGGCTCAAAAATAGTATGAGTTAAGTATAACTCACATGGCAGCTAATGTGGTAAGATGATTATCCTGAATTCTTTTTCAGACATATTATAGGTCTTTATTTCTTCTGAATCCACTACTGGAGACTTGTTGGTTTCTTTTGGTGGTATTGTATTTCCCTGAGTTTTCAAAATCCGTATGCCTTTACTTTGATGCAAGCATGTTGAGGAGATGGCCACTTCTTCCAGTTTTTTCAGGTGTTCTTTTGTGGTGTTGGACATTTACTACTTAATATTGGAACTTAATCACTGGCCTGCTGTTGCTTCCCAGTCTGGGGAAGATTTATAATGAGCACAGGAACTTAAACACTGTACAAGAACTATATTACTGCCTGCTATTGTTTTTCAACCTGGGGAAGACTTAACTGAGCACTAGAACTTAATCACTGACCTTTTAGCTGTTTCCAGGTCAAAGAAAGGCTCCATGTCAGCCCCTGGGCTTTGTGGGAAATCTGACCAGAGATTCAACTTTTGTGTGGATTATGTCCCCAGCAGTGCTGTGGTGCCAGCCAGTCTCCTCACCATGGCATTCCTGCTGACTAGAATACTAAGCAGCTGCCAAGATCTGCACCCAAGTTGCTGCAATCAACATCTCCATTTTTTGTCTCCAATTCACCCTAAGTGCATGAGCCCTTCTGGCACTCCCAAGGGTTCTCGTGAGATGGGTCCAGAGTGGGCTTCTCATGAAGTTTCTCAGACTAGTGGGGAGATCAAAAGTCCACCTCCAATTCTCCCCTTCTACCTCAGAAACCATGGCTCTGTGTGTGGTATTTTGCTGGCTCAGGGGAGACGGTGGCACAGTCTAAAATGACTGTTTCTCTTACAAGTTGCAGCTTCTCTTGATTCTGTGGGCCTAAGGAGTTCTTGACTTCTCTCCCAAATTCTGGTAAATTCAGGGTGGTATTCTTGTCTCGAATGATTTCTAGTTGTACTTTTGTGAGGGGAATGATGCCAAGGGATCTTATATTCCACCATCTTGCTGATGTCCTTTGCCATCTGTTTTTGTAAATAAATTATTTTTTGGAACCCAGCACACCCATTTGCTTACGATTGTCTATGGTGGCTTTTGTGCTACGATATCAGAGATGAGTGATTACAGAGGAGACAGTCTGGTCTGCAAAGCCTAAAATATTTACTATCTGGCCCTTTGCAGAAAAATTTTGTTCAATCCTGTGTTAAAAGGACAAACTAAGATGTGATATTTGGAATTTTCCTTTAAAATAATCTGGCAAAACAAAGTTGGTAGGAGATAGATGAAACAAGACTGGGAAAAAATTGATAGTTCTTGAAACTTATGATGAACATATGAGGATTCAGTAATGATTCCCTCTATTTCTGTGTACATTTGAAAAATTCTATAATCAATTGTTAAAAAAATTTCTCTTATGTATATTTAGCATACATGAGGTCCTGGGTTTGAAAATTTTTGGTTCTGACTTATGAAGCATATAGAGAGGCCAGGTGCAGTGGCTCATGCCTGTAATTCCAGCACTTTGGGAGGCCAAGGCAGGGGGATTGCTTGAGGCCAGCAGTTAGAGACCATCCAAGCAACATAGTGAGACCCCATCTCTGGTGAAAATAGAAAAAATTAGCTGCGTGTGGTGGCGCATGCCTGTAGGCCCAGCTACTCTGGAGGCTGAGTAAGGAGGATTACTTGAGCCCAGGAGTCTGAGGTTGCAGTGAGCTACAGTGATGCCACTGCACTCTAACCTGAGAACAGAGCGAGACCCTGTCTCAAAACAAACAAACAAACAAACAAACAAACAAAAGAAAACACAAAACAACAACAAAAAAAAACAAAACAGATAGGGAGAGAAATAAAATAGAAGATAGAGATTATTTTAAGGTGGATATTATGACTCATAATTTACTGATGAAAGATCAGGAGCGTAGGGACATTGATTGCAGCTAGAAAAGAGCAGAACTGGAATTTGACCCTTGCCAGAGACCCATTCTTAGGTCATTATCATTATTGATATCACATGTTCACATCGCTAAGTGCGACAAGCCAAGGGAACACCTCTATTTAAAGGTCAAAAATTCCCTCCTATATAGCAGGTGATACTAACACTCAAGGTTCTTACCTCTCAGCAACAACGCTAGCTTTGCCATGCTTCAGTGTGGGGAAATTTAGGCAGTTTTTCAGCTAATACAAGATGACGACTGGTGTGTTCCAGGAAAATGGACAGAATACAGAGATGCACATAGACTCTGGAAACTTTTAACTTTTATTCTTGCTTAATATATAGCATACTTTCTACAAAAAAAATTATGAGTTAAGTATATTTTAATGGATATAAGATATTTAAAATATAATTATGACAATTTAAAAAATCCTAACATGAATATAGAAGAGCAAGGAACCAGTAAATAAAACAGACAAAAACAAAATAAATGAAATAAGAATAAAATCTCCCCCAAAGTTCTAGATAGCCTAATCATTTCTTTTCTTTTCCAGGTGGAGGTTCTCTAGAACAACTATTGGGATAAGGCTCAGAGTCGAAGGCAGTTATTTCACTGAGAACACATGTCTGACTCATGGAAGGAAGTCTATGTTCCAGACGGGGCAGCCAAGGCCAAGCACTTTCCTGTTTCATTTGAGGTCTCAGGAAAATGCAGGCTTTCAAGGCACTTGAGGCCACTGCCTAAGTCCAGCTGTATTTAATTCGCATGAGTCCTTACACCTCATTTAGGTTTAAAGATAGGTGCTGTCCCTGTCTGTGATATCCAGCTGCAAGTATTCCAGACTGCCTTTTTTGTAGCTGGCTACGCGTCGTGGTTTTCGGCTTCTTATCCCTGCAGCCTGTCTTTTCTGTAAGGAGTTGGCAATCATGTCTGAAAACTCTGCTTGCAAGCGCTGTTGATTCTCCCTGGAAATAAGGTGGGGAGAGAAAATAGAAGTTCTCAGCAATTCATACGGAATATTCCTTAGCTCCAGAATAATCAGTTCAGTACTCATTCCTCATCGAATGCCTATTCTGTGCTAGACACAGGAAGTCCAAAGAATACAAAATGATCCTTGCCTTTGATGAGCTTAAAGAGCTGTCATTCCTGCTATGTGTAGTTGTAGAATAAGCGGAAATATATTCTAAAGTAGGAAATTAGACTTCAATTTCAAAGTGAAACAACATGCTGTTAGAATTCATAGGCACGGTTAGGAGGGTCTAGGTTTGCATATGCCACTGTAGGAAGGGGGAAAATGCTGGAAGGATGCCAGGAGACTGCTGCAAACACTGAAAACTCATTGGCCCCACACATAACTAGGAGTGTGGATCTTGTTTCGGGGGCTCAGAATGGTGGAGGGTTTCAAGAGTTTAGACTGGATTTGGGGTACTCCCAGGAAGGAGCCAGTTTTCCCAGACCCCAGGGAAGATCTGGGTTATTTTGACTTCTCTAGAAGTTTGCCATCTGTCTGGATCTGGCATCTAGATCTCTCCAGGACAGGGTTTCTCACCCATAGCAAAAGCCATGACAACAGCCACATGACCGATTACCACAGCATCTACTGCTATGTAACTGGACGACGACTTGACTCACCTTTGGGAGAACTGAAACCTGTCAGTTAGAACTGAAACTGTGTCTTCCCCATCTCAGGGAGAACACGGACTCCATGTGAAGACCCAGAACTAGTCTTGGGCTGGGGAGTTCCTGTTTTTAGCAGGTGGCTCAGCAGAAAGATGAGGACAGGAGTGCAAATGCAGAAAGCCTCTTTGCTTTCAGTATGCTCCACTCTTGGGAGAACCAGACATGCAAGAGATGAGCTCTAAAGTGTCTTCTGTTCTCCTGAGCAAGCCTACAATGCAGTGATAGCTTTGCTGTGCTTCAGTGCAGGGGAATTTAGTCAGTTATTATTATTATTATTAAGACAGAGTCTCACTTTGTTGCCCAGGCTAGAGTGAGTGCCGTGGCATCAGCCTAGCTCACAGCAACCTCAAACTCCTGGCTCAACGATCCTGCTGCCTCAGCCCGCCCGAGTAGCTGGGACTACAGGCATGTGCCACCATGCCTGCTAATTTTTTCTATATATATTAGTTGGCCAATTAATTTCTTTGTATTTATATGTAGAGACAAGGTCTCGCTTTTGCTCAGGCTAGTTTCGAACTCCTGACCTCGAGCAATCTGCCCACCTCAGCCTCCCAGAGTGCTAGGATTACAGACGTGAGCCACTGTGCCCGGCTTTCTTTTAAAAATTTTGAGTTAAATATGCCTTCATGGACACAAGGTATTTAAAATAAAATTGTGACAGTTAAAAAAATCCTAACATGAATATAGAGGAAGAAAGAGCCAGTAAATAAAGCAAAACAAGAAAACCAAAATAGATGAACTAAGAACAAAATCTCCTCACATTGCAGATGGTCTATTCATTCCTACTCTTTTCCAGGTGGAAGTTCCCTAGAACAACTACCAGACTAAGGGGCCAGAGTCAGAGGTTTCACCGAGAACACATATCTGGCTCAGGGAAGAAAGTCTATGTTCCAGACAGGGCAGCCAAGGCCAAGCACTTTCTGTCTCACAGAGACCTCAGGAAAATGCAGGCTTTCAGGACACGCAAGTTTCTAGCAATCTGAGAAGGGAGGTTCCTAAACCTTCTTATGTGTGTGGTTCCTGGCCCTGTATTCAATATGTCATTGCTGCTTGCGACATAAACTGGCTTAGAAAGCCAAGACCTCCAACTCCCCTCTCCCCGCCTGCCACACCCAGAAGCTTACACAGTGGGCGGAGTTGGCAGGTTGAACTTCTGGTCCTTCATCCCGGTCAGCCAGTAGGTGATCTCATTGCCTCTTCCCTAGTGAGACAAAAGAGTTAGGTACGACAAAGACTAATGCACGAGTTCAGTTCTAGCCCACTATTCCTACAATGATCTGTTTCCAGATCTTTCACCTCTGTATTTCTCACCCCTGCCAATATTTAGGTCCATCACACATCCCTGGTATGATTTGCATTATCTCTATACGGATCTTTATTTCCAAGTGCCATTTGAGAAATAAGTCTCTCATTCACCAGACATGCTTTTCTCAAATTGGAGTTTTCTTTCTTTTCTCCAAGAAACATTTCAAAATATCATTCTAGCAACATTACAAGAACACTAACTTGAAAAAGGAAGAAAATTCACCTACAATTCTGCTATACCAATACATCCAACTGATTTTTATTGTCCACATTTTCTTCTAGCCCTACGTACAACAAAATTTTGCCGAAAAACTTTTGCCACAGTTTTCCTACGTTAAGTGTGTCAATTATAAACACATATGCATCATAATAAACATTCATTAAGTGATCTTTCTTGGGCCCACCTGGAGGCTATGCAATGTATAAAAACTTACTAGAAAACCTGTTTTTGCTAATGCTTGTATTTGGAAAGGAGAGTGGATGGTTATATATATTTAAAAAATCACCCTTTAAAAAAATAGTGGTTTCCTGGACGTGTTTGGACTGTGGTAATCCAGAAACCACTTCTATTTTGGGGGTAGTGCTCCATGTGGAAAATGGAGGACGCGAAGAACAAATGCAATATTAGGGCATTTTTAGGTAAAAGGAAGCTTTTCCAAGTTGCAATCAAAGTGGAAAGGCCAGAAGCATTATGGCTACTGGAGACAGATCATATTGCAGTCGACAGTTGGCTTTAGACCAATTATGAGAAGGTTGTGATAACTTTCAGAAAGCAACCTGAGAACCAACTAGAGACAGTTGCTGGCTTTGGAGGGCAGTTGTTTCCAATGTAAGGAACAGCACGGAGAATTTAGAGTAGTGATTCTCAAACTTCAGTGTGATCACAGACACATAAAATGTTTGTTACAAATATAGATTCGTGATCTGTACCTACAAAGAGTCTTTTTATTTATTTATTTTTTGAGACAGAGTCTCGCTTTGCTGTCCAGGCTAGAGTGAGTGCCGTGGCGTCAGCCTAGCTCACAGCAACCTCAAACTCCTGGGCTCAAGCAATCCTGTTGCCTCAGCTTCCCAAGTAGCTGGGACTACAGGCATGAGCCACCATGCCCGGCTAATTTTTTCTATATATATTAGTTGGCCAATTAATTTCTTTCTATTTATAGTAGAGACAGGGTCTCGCTCTTGCTCTGGCTGGTTTCGAACTCCTGACCTCGAGCATTATGCCCGCCTCAACCTCCCAGAGTGCTAGGATTACAGGCGTGAGCCACCGTGCCTGGCCCAGAAGACGGGGGTTTTGACTTAAATTAAATAAGTCCTGGACCAGATTGTAGCTCCTGGGATTGGAGGAGGAACTGGGGACAAAACTTGGAGATGTGTGAAGGAAATGGTGCCAGCATTTTATAACATATTGGTTAGAGTTTAAAATATCGAAAGGGCTCTTTGGAGTAAAGGAAAGCTCTGAGTTCACATTCTTCAGTGGTGGTTTCTCCTACACAGGATGCTGGGTGGTCATTATGGGGAGTGCAGAAAAGGGTTTTTCACCTGCATGTCCTCAGCTCTCCTGGCTAGGGCTCAGAGGAGGTGGGCCACGTGTGCCTGAGAGCTTTCTCTGTGCACTGTCGCTCTTGGGAATTCCTTACCTTTAAGTACGTTTCCCCTCTCACTTCATACAGGAACTGGCACTCGGTTCTCTTCAGGATGGCTATAGTGGAGCCACTCACATGAATTCTCAAGGCTGCAAATACAAAAATATTTTAATAGATAAATAAAAATCTCATCCATTTTGTTACCTATCTTATGGCCACATTTGTTACCCTTTGGTTCAGGATGTCAGGAACACCTGATACAAGTATCCTAAAGCAAGGAGAAACAAATATGGCTATTTTAGTGAACGAACACTTAAAAGTATTATCATCACACATGGGAAGAAAGGGTCTGGCATCAGCTTTCAGGATCCTGAGTGACAAAGCTTCCCAGGTGCCACTCCATAGCAGGCGTCCTCAAACTACGGCCCTGGGGCCACATGCGGCCCGCCAAGGACATTTATCCGGCCAGCTGGGTGTTTTTTTTTGCCACCGCTGCCTGTCCTGCTTAGCAGCCGACTCATCCCGGGCCCACAGTGTGCACTCTCCAACGGTCTGAGGAACAGTGAACTGGCCCCCTGTTTAAAAGTTTGAGGACCCCTGCCATAGAGTCTCATTCCAGCTCTGAGTGGTATGGACTGTGGACCTAGTTTTGGATTTGGTTTGTAGTACCAAGCTAGGGAGTTGTTATTTTGTTTGGGCTACCTGGATAAAAGTTCAAGTAAGTAGCTGAAGTATTGGAGGCAAGGTGAAGATTCAGGAGAGAGTTACCGGGTCGTTTTTTTTTTTTTTTTAATAAGAGACAGGGTTCCTCTCTGTTCCCCAGGCTGGAATGCAGTGGTGTAATCATAGCTCACTACAGCCTTGAACTCCTGGGCCCAAGTGATCCTCCTGCTTCAGCCTCCCTAGTAGCTATGACTACAGGTGCATGCCACCATGCCTGGCTAATTTTTAAATTTTTTATAGAGACAGGGTCTTGCTATGTTCCCCATGCTAGTGACCAACTATTAGCCTCCAAGTGATCCTCCTGCCTCTGCCTCCCAAAGTGCTGGGATTACAGGTTTGAGCCAGTGTGCCTGGCCCAGGGTCTTGATTTCCTCAAAATTTTCTCTTCAGAAACATTGTTTTCCTTTTGACAAACAAGTGGTGAAGACATTCCCATTCATAGGTCCAGTGCTGTCTACCACCTTTCCTGCTATGGGTGCCTAATAGCCACACCACAAACAATAATAGTAAGAATAATGGCAATTCCAAATTACACGCCTACTGTGTACCAAAGGATTGCTAAATGCTTGGTGTGACATCATCCCAAATCCTTCCAGAAACCTTCCCAGTAAGGTTTGTATCTCATCCTCAATTTATATATTTGCCTTTCTGAAGCCTAGAAAAATCAGACGACTTCCCCTCAATTTATGCTGACAGTGATTAGCATAATTAGAATTTTAACCCAAGTCTGTCTGATCCCCATCTTATTCTTTTCTTTACATCATGATTTTTCTTGTACAAACTAGTAGCCGATTGTCAGTAGACTACCAAAATACCATCACACCTCCTATGTCCTTGTAAGCCCCACCCACATCTACCAATGCTTCTTTCTCCCTTCTATTACTATCATTGTCATCAATATTTATTGAGCATCTACTTCCTGCAGTACACTGTGCTTCCACCTTGCCAGTCAAATACTATATGTTCCTTTGCCTATAACAAATACCTAGATTCTTCTTTACTAAAATCCATTCCCAGAAAAAACAAATAAAAGGGAAATAAGAATGTGAACCAGGGTGTATATTCCTTATCTAGCCCACTGGATTTTTTTTAATTTATAAGGATCTATGCTAAATGTCATGACTATTCCATATAAAACGTGCCAGAATTCATTGCAAGTGAACCAAAAACATGAAAATAGCCTAAAACTGAGCAAAAGGGAGGAATAAAATAATTATCAGTAAAGGACAACGAAAGCAAATGTAGCAAAAACTGGATCGACACAAGTCTTTTGTTCAGTCCATGTGGAGGGTCATCAACACCTCACTGGCACTTTGTATCTCCTTATTGTGCATTTTATCCTACAGTTGCCCTCTGCTGGAAGACAGAATCTTTGTCCTCTGAGAACAATCTCCCTCCTTACGGAGGCCGGTGGATTCCATCCTGGAGGCTGTGTTGACCGTGTCTCCAAACAGGCAATAACGAGGCATCTTGATTCCCACAACTCCAGCAGCGCAGGGACCTGAAAGGAAGACAGAAAGCAGGAAGTGGAGGCGATGGAGACTGCAGAGTGGAGTGAAGGTGGGTAAGTCTCTTCTCTGGGGCATGAGGCTAAATCCTTCATGTCATGGAGAAGTGGCTGAGGATGAGAAATGCAAGCTGGACTTTGTGTTTTACATGGATGCATCCAACGAGGGAAGCATCAGGAATACTGAATGCTTGCTTTCAGGAAGTATTTTTGCCCTAACAAAAACAGAAACAACAAAAAAAGACATTTGCACTAAACAGGAAGGCATCCAGAGATCCAGGTCACAAAGGTGGGAAGCCCTTCTTAATATTTTAATGCCATCCCTCTGCTTTCTTACTGTGTCAGGCCACGCGACCCTGAACTCCACTCGGCTGGAGGACACCATGCACTTGAAGGTTCAATGGCCCAAGTTTGTTTTGTTTTTCTTTTAGGGTGGCATTTCTGGGATTGGTGACACAATAATGGAAAACCCAGAAGACAAGGACTGGCATAATCTTCTCTAAGCATTTCATGGGCCCTGGGAATGCAGCTGGTAGGGGAAGCAGGGGGCACAAGGAAATTCTAACAGGCAGAACAAAAGCCAAGGCAAGACTGCACTATGGCATATTAGGTAGGAAAGAATGGCTGATTTGTCAGGTATTTGCATGGAATGAATGAATGCAAGGAGTTAAAGATTTTAGAAGTTAAAGATTAATTCAGAAACTGCAAAACTGAGTTTTGGGTAGAGGAAACTATTAATTTTCTAGTTGGCTTTCTGGGTTTTGATCTATAAGAGTTTTTTTTTATAGATTTATCCTACCAATACTCTACTTATGAACATTGAAAAAAATCAAAATGCTGGATCTTCCCCTGAGTCCTGAGCCTTTCACTGTCCAGGATTGATGCAAAACAAAACAAAAGCAAATAAGCAGAACAAAACAAAACAAAAAAACCCCGAAAACATAAAGAAAACAGAAAACAAAATGAAACACCAGAAAACCTTACAGAAGGGAAGACACAGTAGAGGCAACTATGTGATCAGATCTCTGAGCTCCCCAGCCCCACCGGGGCAGTAGATCTATGCACAAGTGACTCCTTATGTCAAATGCAGGGTGATGAAGCTGGGAAGGGCTTGTTGGTGGAAAAACCCTTGAAGATATAATGTCTTATTCTCAATGACCAATATTTAACTTTGCAACCTTTCAATTTCTTAGGCCTAAATCCCTCCAGGTGTGTGTGCCTAATAGCTTCCCCCAGGCCAGTGGGGTGGTGCCCGGGCCCTGGGAGTCAGCTCAGGCACTGAGCAAGTCACAGAGGAAAAGAGGCTGGGCAGAGCTCCATTCTCCCGCACTTGGTTCAGTCAGTCCTGCTGCTACCCCTTCCTGCAGACCCAGCAATTTGTGATGGGTCAGAAGAGAGATAATATGCTGCTTCTGTGGCCAGGGAGATGCCAAGACATTCCCTCACATGTGTATGGAAACATCTATGACGTTTGGCTGTGGACATGATTTGGAGAAGGTCACAGCTGTACTCCTAGCTAGCCAAGATATGGCAGCAGTTCTTAACTTTCATTTACTGTCACTTTGAGAATCTCACCGTTTCATTACTCAGTCAACAAATATTCACTGTCAGACTCTGTGCTAGGCCCTGTGGATACAGGATGACTTTTGCAAGCATAGTTGTCTGGTCCTTGCCACTAAGCCTGGAGCGATCTCATGGGTTTTCTGTACTCTGGGTCTTCTGTAAGGCTTGGCGAGCAGACAAAGGAGCAATGACAAATTATACGGCAAAGAAAAACACAAGGTTTAGCACAAGGAAAATGTTAAAGATTTAACACAAGGAAAAACTGTGTAACTATTGCAACTATTCAATAAGGGAGTGAGTTAGCTTGGGAAACGGAGAGTTTTCAGAGAGTCCTGGGATTATTGCAAAACTGGCTATATTATTACTTACCTTGGAACCTACAAAGGCAATTTATGTCCTGCAAAGAATAAATCAGATGACTTCTGAGTTCCTCACCAACTATGTTTTTCTGTAACACCTGTAACTCATCTTTTCAAATCTCTGTGTTCAAGACTATTAAATTAACTAAACTTAGTTTGTTAAACTAAACTAAATTTGGTTTGCCTCACAGGAGTCCCTACATAACCAACTGCAACCTAGCTTGGTACATAAAGAAACTAAAAGCCTAACTTAGGAGTATACTTTTGTAAGAAATAGCTGAGTCTCAGCCAGGCACAGGCTGCTAACCCATCAGACTTACATGAATAAGGCAAACATGGAGCTGTAACCAATCAAAGCTGTTTCTATATTCATTTCTGTTTTCTGTCTATAAACACTGCCTAACCACATTACCCACTGGAGTTCTTTGAACCTCTTTCAGTTTTAAGGGTCATCAATTTGAAAATCATTCTTTCCTCAATTAAATTCTGTTAAGTTTAATTTTCCTAAAGTTTTTCTTTTAACAAGGCCAAAGACTTTTCATGGTCTTTGAAGTGACCCTTGCGCTTTCTGTACCACTGCAATGGGGTTGGGGGTATAAACATCATAGGAATTTGAGCAGCTATTTTTCCCCCTGTAGATAATCTAATCTACTTAAGATACTATAATATTTTAGTGGAATAAATATACAGAAGCTGGAGGGAAGGGGGAGGAAATAGACGAAACAGTAGATACGGTGACTTCAATGGGAACTCTGTAGCTTCTTGTTTGTGTACGTGGTTGGTATTTATCATTCCAGGAGTCAAAGGTGTTGTTCCTAGAGCTCTCTAGGCACTGGGTCTAAATATGTCAGGATGTGTAGTGAGACCCCATATCTGGCATGCAGAATTCAAGAGTAAACCTTATGTGAAAATGGATCACATTCGAAGACCCTTTATCCTTTCTGATTTAGCGCATGCACAGCGGTACACGTGGTTCCCATTTGCTAAGATGCTCAACTCCATACCAGAGTGAACTCCAATGCGAATCCATATTGGGAGGCCAGGAAGATGCTCCAGCTCAAAGGTGCCCATGAAGCTGAGGATTTCCAAGGCCATCTTGGCAATGTCTATAGCATGGCGATTGCCATTTCTCTTAGGCAAGCCACTCGCCACCATATAGGCATCGCCAATGGTTTCCACCTGCGGAAATAGTTTCTCATCAGTGGTCCTGCCCCTTCCAAAGACACAGAAATTAAACAGAAGCAGTAATCACATGTCAAACACAAAAGATTTTTGGGGAAACTTAGTATGAGCCTAGCCCTTTACAGTTTTTTGGGGGCCAGTTGTATGCTGGTTTTGTCAGGGTTTTTAGAGTCTAGTTAATGGATGATAAAATAGCTATAAAGGATTTTAGCCATTTAAAAGTACTTCATAATTATACAAATTGTCCAGATGTGGTGATAACTCTATATATTTTTAAATAATCTGAATGGTTTTATGTAATTTTAGGAATGGTTTTAATTATCAGAAAAGTCATCTATAGCACTTATAATTTTCTAAATATTAATACTATTTGAAAAAAATAATTGTAAGTTCCTCCAAGACATACTCTTGTAGTATGGTGTTCTATTTATTATAACTTCAGTGTCTTCTCTACTTCATTTGCAGTCAGCCTAAACACTGCCCATTTTTTGGGGAGGTGATTTGAGGGTATGCCATTTTCCCCAAATTTAATACCCTAAAATTCATTTCTGCTGAACTTCCTGTTGTTTGTTTTATGCTGCTTTTTAAAGTTAAATGGTAATTTTGATTTCTGACCCTTCTAATTCTTCTACTTCTCTTCACTTTTAGCTTGGATTCAACCACCAATTCATTATATGTTAAATTAGAGAGGACAAGACTGATAATGGCAACAACCAATTCAGGCTCTGATAACCTCGGGTTGTATAATTGTTTCAGCCTGTTAGGTGACCTGCTTACCTTGTAGACATCATGGTGATCGACAATGTGGTCAAAACTCTTATAGATGTCATTAAGCATGTCCACCACTTCCATAGGGGTGCTGTATTTGCAGATAGTAGTGAAACCTACAATGTCACTGAAGTAGATTGTCACTTCCTCATAGAGTTCCGGCTCCACAAAGCCTTTCTCCTTCAGAGACTTCACCACTAGCCTATACATGAAGAAGGAAAAAAAAGATGCTTTCAACTTGAGTAAATTTTTCTTATCTTACATAAGTCTTTCAGAGAGTAGTATTTGTCTACGAGGAATTCTAGAATTTGGGATTTCCAGTTAATTGAGTGGCTAGGAAGCAAAGATAGGTTGCATATGCTATACAGAATTTATTATATACATACACATATAATACATGTGAACATAGATGAACATAAGCAAATTCAGCATTAACTTAGTATGTGATTATTAACCCTAATATTCATATATTGCTAACCTTAATACCGGCATAAGCCAAATTCATATACATATTATTTGCCCACTTTTTACCTCTCCATTTATAAGCAGCTTCTTGCAGATGTAGCTCTACATACAGAAGCTGAGAAGGAGAGTGTGTTATTAATGTAAGAGTTTGAATCACCATAGCTATCAGACCTGACTTTCTCATCGAAGTTGATAGTTTTACTTCCCTGGCATATTTAACATGGCCTGGTTTCATATCACCATGAAGGAATAATGCATTAAAAAAAACCAATTTTGATACATTCTGAACCAGAATTTATTTGGTATATTTTGAAGCAGATCTGGGTCCTTTAAAAAGCAAAGTCAATTATTATGTGAACGAGTTAAAATTATGCTGAAACTGTAGGCGTCGAATAGAAGCAACTTAGAACATTTTTGTAGAAGAGCTATAAACAGCAGCACATCAGACTGAGGATTAGGAGAGAAGAACCACAAGGAGCAACTCCGTACTTCCTTTGTGTGCTGAGTTGCCATTTCCTTGAGAAAAGGTAGTGGGGGCTGCCGTGAAGCGGGATGCTCCCTGTCTGACCTTGGCATCTCTTTTAGTGGCCTTGAGTATGGAACCACTGGAATCAGAACCTGGAAACTGGGAGGTGCCAAGAGGTCACTGAGAATTCTTCATTTTCACAGATGAGAAAGCTGAGGCCTACAGAGGAAGTATGGCTTTCATAAGTTCCCACACCCCACTAAGGACAGGGCTGGAGTAGAACTCGGCAATATCTGAACCCGTCAGTCGTTTTATTGCACCCCCCTCCTCCACAACCCAGGCCTTGGGTGTTCAGGGGAAGATTTGGAGGTGTGCTGACGGTGGCAAAGGAAGAATGCCCAGGACTCTGCTGGAAAACAAACAGCCCCATCAACCATGAAGCTTCACGGACACTAATGATGACAGCCTCTGGGCCATCAAGGGAGGTCTTTCCAGTTGGTACAGTGACACCTTGGGACCTTTGTAGCAACACTCCCTGGTGTGGCGTGTTGGATTCACGGGGGCAAATCTGGAGGCTACATACATGTAATGAATAAATTGGATAATCTGCCCTTTTGCCCTTCATTTTACTGATTATATCTGAAAAGTCATATGAACTTAGAAAATAGCGTGTTGGCCCGGCACGGTGGCTAACGCCTGTAATCCTAGCACTCTGGGAGGCCGAGGCGGGTGGATCCCTCGAGGTCAGGGGTTCGAAACCAACCTGAGCAAGACCCCGCCTCTACTAAAAGTAGAAAGAAACTAATTGATCAACTAAAAATAGATATTGAAAAAATTAGCCAGGCATGGTGGCACATGCCTGTAGTCCCAGCTACTCGAGAGGCTGAGGCAAGAGGATCGCCTGAGCCCAGGAGTTTGAGGTTGCTGTGAGCTAGGCTGACGCCACGGCACTCACTCTAGCCTGAGCAACAAAGTGAGACTCTGTCTCAAAAAAAAAAAGAAAATAGCGTGTTACCCAGAGAGAGAAACTAATGTTGGGAGATAAATGAAGGAAGGGCTGTCACTTAACACAATGAGCTTTGATAACAGGTTGTTGCCGACATAGAATTAGTGTACGGAGTAGGTACCTTAGAAAGCCTTCTCACAAGAAGAGAAAAAATTCTGTTTTAATCTATTTCGAAACCCCAAGGGGTGCTGTGCAAGTGTTTAGGTGATACCTGGTGCATATCTAACACATGCAGTCTTATTTGCCCTTTAGCTATAAATATATTTGATTCTCCTAGTTATTGCTTGTGTGTGTTTTAATTTTGTTTTGCAAGTATAAAGAATTTGTACATAAATAATCAAAGCGAGTTGTGCCAGAGCCATGATGTATTGTTGCTCTTGAAGAGACTCGTGTTATATAACCTTTGGCAATCCAATAAAAACGTCTACCATCTAGTGGTCAAAACGGCATATTGAACCAGGGCTAGAAAAAAGGTGAGGTGGTGAGCCAGCTGTTTTAAACCATTTGAATGACAGTTGTTAAAACTGCTGCTGTTGAAACCCCAGGAAGGCAACCAGATAACCAGGATGCTGTTTCAGTCACAATTCAGCATGAAAAACCAGGCAAGGAATTGTGCACTATACAATCAACATTTATGGAGCTCTGACAGAAACTGCCATCCCTGAGGTGAACAGAGAGAGTTCCAGTCTATTCCCAGGCTATTATGGGAATGTCCCCAGCCTGCCCCCAGGTCTGAGGGCATGTAAGTTCTGCGGTAGGATGTCCTCAGGCCCAGATAACTAACTGGACAGAGGACCAGTGTAACACCTACTGCTCGACTCAGGCTTATAGAAGAGAAATTGTTTCTTTATTTAGAAAACAGCTAGTATGATCTCAAAATCTTTCCCTTACTCAGCAATATCCTACCTTTCAGTCTTTTTATTGCACCACCCTGACATGAGAGCTGATATTCTAAATGAAGCAAAGGTTAAAAATAATGATCAATACAAGTAACATATAAAAGCCCTAGTTGCCATACATAATAATAACCACCATGGATGTTTCAGGCATTGTGCTAAGTACCTTATATCCTGCACATTGTCTCAAGGAATTCTTAGAGCCACCCTGGAAGACAGATGGGAAACTGAGGCTTGGAGCATTGAGGAAACTTGCCTGGGATGGTGGATCAGGAGTAGGTGGTAAACCACGCTTTGAAGTCAGGCCTAGCTGACCTCAATTTCTACGATTTTACCCAAAGCTATGGACTGCCTAGTTTATTCTCAATCTGCTAGCACAGCTTGACACACTTTAATGAGAAGAGAATACCACCTCTCACTTGTGCACAGTTGTAGGGGAGCCTACTTCCTAGCTCGTCACATTTTAATTCCTAGCTTCTCTTAATATTCCTCAGTTAGTACCTGAGTACCAACACTTAAAAACCTTTAGACCATTTGGGAGTTTCAATCTTACTTCCCTTCTCCTCTGTCATGGCTGTAATATCACTTCACAAAATGGAGGTCGGCCCATAGATACCCCCGAGGTGAGACATCTGACCAGGCCTCCTCAAACTATGGCCCTAGGGCCACACGCGCGTGTTTTTGCCCGCTTGTTTTTTTACTTCAAAATAAGATATGTGCAGTGTGCGTAGGAATTTGTTCATAGTTTTTTTAAAACTATAGTCCGGCCCTCCAACGGTCTGAGGGACAGTGAACTGGCCCCCTGTTTAAAAAGTTTGAGAACCCCTGTCTGACGCGTTTGCCCTACCTCCTCCACCAAAGCTGGCTTCCTCTCTTGTCACTTGGCTTCTACTTGTGGTGAAAAAAGGAAAGCCAAGAAACTACCACTTACTTCCCCAAAGTGTCTTATAGCTCACATATCCTGTAGGAAAACTTTGATTTCTATTTTGAGACTGAGAGGCAGATTGTGACTTGCCTAAGGTCATAGACCAATAAAAGTGACAAAAACATAATGGACATTTTTGTTGGTCGGTTGGACTCCACAGTCCATGCTCCTCCCGTGGTACCACAATACCATTTGAAAATGAACTTTTCCTTCTTGGTATGCAGAGCACAAACTGGAACAGTGTTTAACAAGGTACATGCATTTTTAATCCTAATAATTACAAAGGAAAAATACACAAAAGGAAAAATTCTACATAGATACAAAGAAAAATCATGCTAGACAGATACGCTGAAGGTTGCAGCCTTGAACTATGAAGCTTGGCTGTAGAACTGTGGAAAACCACAGCAGCAGGAGGACTTGCCTTACCTTGGGAGCAACATAAAGTTGAGTCTGTCAGCTCTGTCCCTCTCTGCCTTGTACAGCTGCGTCCTTTCCTCTACCAGGTGTTCCAGGTTTCGAGAATATAGCTGTAGACGTCGGATCAAAGTATCCATATAACTTTCATTTTTTTGATCATGAAAAAGGCTGTAGGTAGTAATAGATAAAGAGCTCTTATTCATTATTAAGAAAACATGAAACATTCAATAAAACAGTGGGCAAACATGGGGAACAGGTCATTCAACAGTGAAAAATAAAAGGTGGGGCCAACAAACATAACAAGAAAAATTTAACCTCAGGAGAGATCAAAAAAGTCAAAATAAAAATAAGATTTAAAAAATAAAAACAAATGCTGGAATGATGGTCATAAATGTAGGAGAAGGAGGAAATATATACAGCACAACCTTCCTGGAGAGCAATCTGGTAAAAATGTGTCACACAAGCTTTAAGGATGCACATAGCTATCAGCTCACCAACTCTACTTTTTGGAAATAATCACAAACATATTTCACAGGACAAATTGGGACACACAGCAAAATAAAGAAACAAAACAAAACAACAAAAAAAACCAAACGTATTTCAAGTTCACTACAAAGAAAATCACAGCATTCTTTACAAAACCAAACATTTGAAAATAACCAAAAATGTAGTTAAAATATTATGGTGGAATAGAATATTAACATCTCAAAAAATATGGATTAGAATAGTTAAATACACAGAAAGCTGCTACCTTGATATTATTAAGTGAAAAACATCAGCTTATAAAACAACAAACATAATCCCAACTTTATTTTTTGAAGACAGGTGGTCATCTATTGGAAAACAGGTGATATTTTCACTTTCTAGCTTACTTATTTATGTTTGCTAAAATTTTAATAATAAACAATTTGTGATAAAGAAAAACCTCTTTAAAAAATGGTCTAGAAGTGATAAATGGAAGTGCAAGAAAATGACCAAGAAAAGCCAAGCCAAGCCTTTCATTATCTCCTCAGAACAGAGATCATGGAAGGGGTCCTACAGCCAAAACCTCAACTCTGGGTTACTTTGTTAGACTGAGGAGACTTGGATTAGATGCCAGCTTTGTGTGGCATTGGGAGGTCTGACAAGCTTTGGTGCAGAGGGCAGGGAGGAGAGACATTGAGTTCTTCTGCCATTGTGAGGATCAGAGAGAACGTTCACAATACCTAAGGCACAGCTGAAGGTGCTGAACAATCACGGCCACTTCATTATTGCAATAACAAGTTGTCACTCTGTTCCCTGGAGAAGATGGCCTACGTTATAATCCCCTGGGATGGGGAGGGATGTTTGTTAAGAATCCAGTACATTTCTGAGTCCTACCCCAGACCTATGTGGCTGAAATTGCTGGGCTTGGGATTAAGAAACAACATTTTTTAACAAGCTCCCTGGGGGATTCTTGCTTGAAACTACCAGTACCGAGTCTAGTTGAGCAGAATGGGTGAGAAAGCAGACATAGGGGATGAAGATGGATTATCTTACTCCATGAGGAACTGATTCAATTAAAAGTTTTTTCAACATACACGGTATATTTTAATCACCTGGGGAGCTATTAAAAATCCTGATACCATCCTGCATCCCAGACCAGGCAGACTTTTTAGGGTTGAACCCCAGCATTAGTGTTTTTGAATGTTCCTCAGTTGATTCCATTGTACAGCCAAGTTTGAGAAACCCCACACTGAAGGCTAAATGTCAGAGGCCCGGTTTATTTTCATGAGTTTGCATTTCACCAGTCACCTATATGGTCTCATCTGACTTTAGCAACAGCTCTGGGAAGGAGTTAGAATTAAATCCTTTATAATTTCCTACAACCATTCCCACAGCCAATAGCTTAGTACTACCAATCAATGACTACACTTTCATTAAGCTCATTCTACCTCATCTCCAGCCCTGGACTTTTAGCCTCATTAAATATCCAAATCTTTTGATCTAATGAGAACTACAGAAAGTTAAATCTGGAAGGAATTGTAGAAATCATCTGGTTCAATCTAGTTTTCCTAATAAGCAAATTGATACCCAGTGAGGGTAAGTGTTTTGCTCAATGTCCCACAGCAAGCTATTATCAGACCCTAGTCTAGAAATTGGATCACCAAACTCTTAATTAAGGTAATTTTTCTCATTCTGCAGTGTATTCACTGAAGACATGAAGCATCTAAAATTCAACCTTCCAGGGTGTGTGCTTTTTTATTCAGACCTTGAATTATCACACTCTGACACATGACATAAGTATCTAGGGCCAAAGCTGGTGATTTTAAGACTTTAAGAAACATGCTAATTTTAAGAATTATTAATATCTAGGGGCTTCACAGATTCTCAGGACCCATGTTATACTTCTAAATCCTAATCAGCTGCAGAAGGCTCTGGAAGCTATATTTTAAACAGATTTAGGATTAGTCAAATTTATTTTTTAATCAGAAAAGTTTTGACCTTGAGCATTTAACTTTTCCCTGAGAAAATGATCTGTTAGTCTCCATATCATTTAAAATTGTACAAGGCAGGTGTTGGTTGCAGCCTGGGACTTTTTCGTTGGAACAGATATTTTTATTTTTAGGTGCCAGTGAATGTCAACTATCATTGAAAAATATAAAATTAGTGAAGAAAAGTAAAAATTTCAGCAGTACCCAAATATCTTGCCCAGTGTGGTCTCAATTTTTTTGAAATCTGGTCTCTTTTCTGGATCTTCTTCCCAACAGTTTTTGACAAGTAGATACACCTGGAAGAAAGAAGTGGCAGATTAGCTCAGGGGATGGTAAAGTCAATCAAGATAGAACCCTATCCTATTCTCCTTGAAGGGAGTAATTAAAGTAGGGAGTAGTTTGAAAATATTTCCAACTCTGAAAATGAGGATAAGATACCCAGTTCTCTGCAGTTTCTGTCTCAAGCATCACCACCTGCACTATCTTACCCAGCCATTCCGTTGGGAGAAATCAACTTAAAAAATGTGATAACAATTTGGATGAGGCTGGATGGATGGGAAAGGCTAAATGCAGGGTTTATGTTGGAGAGGGCAAAACTATAGTGAGGCTCAGTGAATATGAGACAAGTGGCTCTAAATGAGAATCGAAGCCTGACTGTCAGTGGTTCTTAGCCACAGCTAAGTAAAATCACCTGGGGAACATTTACATAAATTATGCCCAAGCTCTATCCCAAGAGATTCTGATTTAACTGTCTTACAGAGTGGCCTTAGTAGGGCTCCCAGATTAGCACATAAAAATACAGGACACCTAGTTAAATCTGGATTTCAGATAAACGGTGAATAATTCATTAATATAAATGTGTCCCAAATATTGCATAAGCAAAGGGAAGTGCTATTTGTTAAAGTTCCCTAGGTGACTGCAATGCACAGCTACCATGGAGAAGTGACACGGAGAAAAGGCAGGTATGGGGGCAGAGGGAGGAAGACAGGAGGAAGTCCGTGGAACCCCATCTCATCTGCTGCCACTTGTTTGCAGCTTTTGTTTGATCAAAAGTGTGGTGAAAACCAGTGGCTTTAAATAAAGTATATTCTTCATTCTGGCTAAAACAGGATTATAAGTGGTACTAAACACAATCCCTATCCCTGTACTTCACTGGAATGATTCCCTGGGAGGGGACTAGAGCCATGGAATACCCTGGGGTTGCCTATATTCACCACTAGATGATGCTCCTAGTGGCGAATCTTCTGCTGACTACCTGTGAACAGGATTGACAGAAACAACAAACAACAGGGTTGATACGGCACCACAGAATGCAATATAGTCAGCCCTCCATATCCGTGGGTGGAAAGAAGTATTGGGGGGAAAAAAGGGATGGCTGTGTCTGTACTGAACATGTGCAGACTTTTCTTTCTTGTCATTCTTCCCTAAACAATCCAATATCACAACTAATCACATAGCATTTACATTGTATTAGGTGTTATAAGTAATGTAAAGATGATTTAAAATGTACAGGAGGATGTGTGTAGCTTTTATGCAAAAACGACACCATTTTATGCAAAGGACTTGAGCACCTGTGGATTTGGGTATTTCTGGGGCTTCCTGGAACCACTTCTCCACAGATAGAGAGGGATGATTACACTGGGTGCTTTTTGAGCATTGGTGAGTGATACATGAATAGTTTCAGGCCTGTATTCTATTGGAACAAGCTATTAGACATGAAATCTTACTCCTCATTTCCAATTCCAGAACTGTCCAACTATACAAATTGAGGATGATGATAATTTGGTAAAAAAGGTTTTAAACATGGATATACTCAGAATAGAAAAGGGAGTTTGGGAAGTGATATCCTCATGTGTGGGGAAGAGTCCCTGGATCCAGAAAACTGGGAGGAAAAAAAGAATGAGGAGAAACAGGGATAGGAGCAGTTGTATCCCAGAAACTTGGGGCTATAACATGTCTTTACCATTGAAAAAGAGAGAAAAGAGGCAAGGAAAAAGTGTGGTCATAAAACTCATCTGGCAGAGTCCTTATAAATTGAAGGAAAATGTTTCTACTTTTATCCTGCAAAATGTGTAAGACAATAAATATCTTAAAATATTTTATTCACTATCTTTTTGGATTATTAAATCTCAGGTAAAATTCTAAAAGAAAAAAATAAGAAAATTTTCATGGGCCTTAAAAGCAGTTTTGAAAGATTATTTAAAAGAAAGAAAAGCTTCATTTCCTTCACAGAAAGGGTAAGATGAGTGAACATACATTTCTATATTTCTTCTAGATGTTGGCTTACTTATTTTTAAATCAGTAGATAGTATTTGTAAGCCTAAAAAGTATATCACATGGACATCTTGTTCTTTTAGCTCATAAAAATTGAGAATGGTCCCTGCTGACCACAATCAGTGTCTACACACACCCCTGGGGGTGTGAGGATAAGTCTGCCCAGCCGGCTCTGCCCTCTCAGTGCCCAAGCATGCCATGGAGGGGCTTGAGGACAAATCAGCCCCATTCACCCACCATTGGCAACAGAACACCCCATTCACCCACCATTGGCAACAGAACACTCCCTCATGGACTGTCCCTTTATGACATATGGGACACCATAAAGTGACCACATTTTTGGTGTCCCAGAAGGTGAAGAAAAAATGAAAGGGACAGAAAACCTATTTAACAAAATAATACCTAAAAACTTCTCAAGTCTAGAAGTCAGTTAGATTCATGATGCTCAGAGATTCCCAAATAAATACAATTCAAATAGGTCTTCTCCATGGCACATTATAGTCAAACTGTTAAAGTCAAAGACAGAATTCTCAAAACAGCAAGAGAAAAACATCTAGTCACTTATAAGGGAAGCCCCATGAGTCTAACAGCAGATTTCTCAGCAGAAACCTTATAGGCCAGGAATGAATGGGATGCTATATTCAAAGTACTGAAAGAAAAAGAAATCAGTCAAGGATACTATACCCACCAAAGTTACCCTTCATAAATGAAGGAGAAATAAAGTCTTTTCTGGACAAGCAAAAGCTGAGGGGATTCATCATCTCTAGACTGGCCCTACAAGAAATGCTAAAGGGGGTCCTACATTTAGAAATGAAATGTATGAAACCCAATGGTAAAGCAAACAAACAAGGAAGAGAAAAGACTCAAATGTTACCGTTACACAAAATCACCAAATTACAATGATAGTAAGAGAGAAAAAAAGGAGCAAAGGATATACAAAACAATCAGAAATCAATTAATAAAATGACAGGAATAAGCTCTCATGTATCAATATATATCAATAACCTTGAATGTAAACAGATTAAACTTTCCACATAAAGTATAGACTGGCCGAAAGGATTTTTAAAAATAACCCAAATATATGCTGCCTACAAGAAACTCATGTCACTTGTAGAGACACATATAAACTGAAAGTAAAGGGATGGGAAAAGATATTCCATGCAAACAGAAACCAAAAGCAAGCAAGACTAGCTATACTTATAACAGACAAAACAGACTTCAAGTAAAATGACGAAGAAGGTCATTATATAATGAAAAAGGATGAATTTAGTAAGAGGACATAACCATAGTAAACATATGTACACCCAACACCCAGGCACCCAGATATATAAAGCAAATATTATTAGATCTAAAGGGAGAAATAGACTGCAATACAATAATATTGGGGACAGTAACAACCCATTCTTAGCATTAGACAAATCATCTAGACAGAAAATCAGCAAAGAAGCACTGGATTTAAACTGCACATTAAACCAAATAGGACTAACAGACATTTACAGAGCACCTCATTCAGCAGCTACAGAATACACATTCTTCAGCACATGAAACATTTTCCAGGACAGACCAAATGTTAGACCATAAAACAAGTCTCAACAAATTTTAAAAAATTGAAAGTATATCAAGTATCTTCTCAGACCTCAGCAGAACAAAACTAGAAATCAAAACAAAAGGAACTTTGAAAACTGTACAAATACATGGAAATTAAACAACATGCTTTGAATGACCACTGGGCCAAAGAAGAAATTAAAGAGGAAATTTAAAAAGTTCTTGAAACAAATAGAAATACAATATACTAAAACCTATGGGATATAGCAAAAGTAGTGCTAAGAGAGAAGTTTATAATAATAAATGCCCACATCAAAAAAGTAGAAAGATTTCAAATAAACAATCTAATGATGCACTTCAAAGAGCTAGAAACGCAAGAAAAAACTAAACCCAAAAGTGGTGGAATGAAAGAAATAATAAAGATGAGAATAGAACTAAATGAAATAGAGATTAAAAAGGAAAAAAAAATGCAAAGAATTAACAAAACAAAAAGTTGTGTTTTTTTAAAAATATAAACAAAATCAATAAACCACTAACCAGACCATCCAAGAAAAAAAAGGAGAATACCTAAGTAAAAGGAGAATATCTAAGTTACTTAGGAGAATACCTAAGTAAAATCAGACATGAAAAAGGATGCATTACATTTGATACCACAGAAATGCAAAGGACAATCAAAAACTATTAAGAACAACTATACACTAACAAACTATAAAACCTAGAGGAAATGGATAAATTCCTGGACACATACATCCTGCCAAAACTGAATCATGAAGAAACAGAAAATCTGAACAGACCAATAACAAGTCACGAGATTGAATCAGTAATAAAGACTCTTACAGCAAAGTCCAGGACAAGATGGTTTCATTGCCAAATTCTACCAAACTTCTAAAAAAGAATTTATACCATTTCTCCTCAAACTATTCCAAAAAATTAAAGAACAGGGAATTCTCCCTAATTCATTCTATGAGGTCAGCATTACCTTGATACCAAAACCAGACAGAGATGTAGCAAAAAAATAAAACTAGATGCCAACATCCCTGATGAATATAGATGCAAGAATCCTCAACTATGTATTAGTAAACCAAATCCAACAGCACATCAAAAAGGTAATACAACCTAAGTGGACATATAGAAGTAACATTTATCGGGTGTCAGGAGGGTGGGAGTGGGGAGGAGGGACGGGCATATACAACCACAACGAGTAAGATGTGCAACATTTGGGGGAGGACATGCTTGAAGCTCTTACTCGAGGAGGGAGGGGGGCATGGACAATATAAGTAACCTTAACCCCCATAATGCGCTAAAATAAAAATAAATAACAACAACAACAAAAAAAGGTAATACATGATGATCAAGTGGGATGTATTCCAGGAATGTAAGGATGGTTCAATATAAGCTAAGCAAGAAATGTGACACATCACATCAACAGAATGAAGGATAAAAACCATATGATCACCTCAATAGACACAGAAAAAGCATTTAATAAAATTCAACATCCTTTTGTATAAAAACTCTCAACAAACTAGGCATAGAAGGAACATGCTTCATTATAAAAGCCATATATGATGAACGTACAGCTAATATCATACTGATGAGGAAAAGCTGAAAGCCTTTTCTCTAAGAACTGGAACAAGAAAAGGATGCCCACTTTCACCACTCCTAATCAATATAATACTATAAGTCCTAGCCTGAGCAATCAGGCAAGAGAAAGAAATAAAAGGCATTAAAATTGGAAAAGAAGAAATTAAATCATTCTTCTCTGCAGACCACATGATTATGACTTCAGATCTAGAAAGCCTAAAGACACCACCAAAAAACTCTTAGATCTGATAAATAAATTCCGTAAAGTTTTAGGACACAAAATCAAAATGAAAATAGATCAGTAAATCAGAGGGATACCTGCACTCCCATGTTTATGGCAACAGTATCCACAATAGCCAAGATATGGAATCTACCCAAGTGTCCATCAATAGAAACACAAACACACACACACACACACACACACAGTGGAATATTATTCAGTCTTAAGAAAGAATGAAATCCTGTCATTTGCAGCAACATGGATGAAACTGGGATCAGTATGTTAAGTGAAATAAGTCAAGCACATGAAGACAAATATTGCATGTTTTCACTTAAATGTGGGGGCTAAAAAAGTTGATCCCATAGAGGTAGAGAGTAAAAAGTACAAGAGGCTGGGAAGGGAGTGGGGGTGTGTAGGGTTGAAGAGAGATTGGTTAATGGGTACAAACACACAGTCAGATAGAAGAAATAAGTTCTATTAATAATGTTCAATAGCGGAATAGGGTGACTATAGTTAACAACAATGTACTGTGCATTTCAAAAGAGCTAGAAGGGAGGACTTGAAATGTTCCCAATACATAGAAATAATTAACACTTGAGGGATGGATATGCCAAATACGTGATCATTACACATTCTGTGTATATAAAAACAAATCACATGTATGCCATAAATATGTACAATTTTTTTTTCTTTTTAAATCCTTTTTTTTTTTTAGACAGGGTCTTGCTCTGTCACCCAGGCTGGGGTGCAGTGGCAGGATCATAGCTCACTGAAGTCTCTAATTCCTGGGCTCAATCCTCCTGCTTCAGCCTCCCAAGTAGCTGGGACTACAGGCACACACCACCACACCCAGCTAAGTTTTCTTAGTTTTTGTAGAGATGGGGTCTTGCAATAGCCCAAGCTCATCTCAAACTCCTGACCTCAAGTGATCCTCCCACTTTGGCCTCCCAAAGTGCAGGGATTACAGGCATTAGCCACTGTGCCCAGTCAATATGTACAAATATTATATACCAATTTAAAAAAGAAAAAAAATTGCAGAGAATGAGATGTGTACTTTAGGAGCCAGTTGGGGAGGGGCAAGGGCATGGAGAGTGTGAAAGGCTGAGGATGGCTCCCAAAGGCACTTCTAATCCCTGGAATCTGTAAACGTTACCTTCTTTGGAAAAAGGGTCTTTGCAGATGAAATTGAATTAAGGGTCTTGAGATGGGGCAGTTATTCTGGATTATGTGGGTGGGACCCCCTGCAATCACATGTGCCCTAATAGGAAGGAGACAGAGAATTGACAGAAGAGAAGATGTGATCAAAGGCAGGGATTGGAGTGTGTGGCCACAGCCAAGGAATGTCCATAGCCGTCAGAGGCTTCTGGAAGAAATAAGGAATGGATTATTTCCCTTTAGAGCCTCTGGAGGGAGCATGGCCTTGGTGAGAACTTGATTTTGGACTTCTAGCCTCCAAAACTTTAAGTGAATAAATTTTTATTGTTTCAATCTCCAAAGTTTTTTGGGGGCCAAAGAAAGGAACACAAGGAGGATATACTCACTTCGAGCTCTTTTTCCTCTGCTGTTTCCAGGAATAGATCTGGGCGGAAGGGTTTTATTCCGTTGGAATTTTCAACTCTGAAAATCTTCTCTGATCGGATGAGGAAAATGCAAATTACAAGGGTGAATACAGCATGAAGAAATTTCAGCAGACTCTGAATTTGTTCACTGCACTCCCTTCACCCCCCGCCAAGGCTCTTCAGCCCAGTGAGAGTGTTGTCAAGTCGAGGTCAGCACTCAGTAGATAGATACTGAATGAATGAGGCACAGGGCGGAGGGGTTTTATCCCACCATAACCAGGAGATGACCTTAAGGTTAGGCTACTCACCCTTTAACTCAATGCAGACACCCCTTCCTTTAGTAGGCTCCCTCTGTCTATGCTTTGGCTCCAACCTCTCTACGTCCCTTAGTCTCCCTACCCTCTCCCAATCAGTTAAGCACTGGCACATACTGTGTTTCTTCAAAAAGATGACCTACTCATAAAATAAGCCCTAGCAGGATTTTTAAGCATTTGTGCAATATAAGCCCTACCCCAAAAATAAGACCTAGTGATGGGCGTGGCTACACAGTGTATCTGCACAACCCATGCATTTCGTCTCGGAGCTAAAGAAAACAGGCAGCCTTTCTCATCTGCCCAGTGAGAGCTCTACCGCTTGACATGAGAGACTGGGGCCCATGGTTCCAAAGGAAATAGAGTCGCAAGAAATTCAGGATGGATTTCGGGGTTTGGAGAGTTATGATGATGTTCCAGAAGAAGACGACTTAACTATATTTGAATAAATGTAGATTGTTGTACTGTACTTAAAAAAAATAACACATCCACTAAAAATAAGTCCTTGGGTGTCTTCTTGAGGAAAAATAAACATAAGACCCTGTCTTATTTTCAGGGAAACATGGTAAGAAATGCTCAGTAAGTCAGGATTGGATGGATGAAATGAAAGATTTTTCCCTGCAAGGACATGTGACAAAAACCTATAGATCTTCTCTTAGTAAGAACTAAACTATGTATGTTTTTCTGCTAGAGTGCTCTAGTTTAAGTGTTAAGCAGACACATTCCCTTATTGGAATCAGTAGGAAAGGGGTAAATTGTAGGGAAGATTCTTAATAATAATACTAGCAATAGCGACACCTGGCAGCATGCATCGTCTTGTGCTTTTCAGAGCTCTCTAACCCTCAATCCTTCCAATTCCTCCGTCAAAGGAGTAGTGCAGATGAGAAGTCATTACTTGTGCAGAAGATGGGATTGAGACGTGGGCACAAACAAGTCAGGGTCTCGGGGAGCCTGGAATGCAGGTTGGCCAGCTCCCGGCGGGGGCAGATGAAGGGGTTCAGACTTACCATTCTTGTCCCGGCAGCTCAGCGTGTAGAAGGTTTCTTTCCGCAGGATGATCTCCTGAGCGATAATCCCGTAGCTGTACACGTCTCCCTTCTGAGAGACGCTGGCCTGGCGGAGGTGCTCCGGAGCTGTCCACAGGTCTGTGCGTTCAGACATGGGGATCGCAAAGTTGAGGGGAGCGAGTGGCCCGCAGGTCTCTAACCTGCTTTTGTTTAAGTCCCTACACCAGCTACCCTGGATATGGGTGTTCTTGAATTGATAGGGTTCTAAACTTTTGAGGAGTTTGTGCTAATTCTAGTGATCAATCGTAGAACACACACTTACATTTTAAGGGGACTATGAAATTCCAGGATCTGGGTGATGCCACCTGGCAATACGCTATCCAAAACTGCTAGAATCCTAGTCCTGAAACCTCCAGGCCCACCTGGAACAGGGCTTGGTGTATAGTAAGTGCTAAGTAAATATATATTTAATAAATGCAGTAGAATATGAGAGGCTGAGGAATTTAATAGCTTATTGGACATACGGAATGAACCTATGAACGGCTTTATAAATAAATATATATTGTATACATATGAAAATATACTTTAGATATATATTTTCCTTAAATTATTACAATTAATTATTTTATTTAAAATATATATTTACTAAAAGAAGATAAAGACAGCACATTTAAACAAAGAGACTATCACTGATATTTTCCAAGCATGATATACTGGTAGCCTCCAAGTCAGCTAGTGCACACTGAGGTGTTTTCCCAGAATTCTTCTAGAAAAAAATTGCATGTAATTTACTTGCATTTTACTCTTGTCTCTGCTGCTCCCTAATGCTTTGCATCTAGTCGACTTTAACCCAAGTGCAATGCTCCTGTGTCCTGTGTTTAGCTTCTATAGACACTTGGGTTTTGGACCTCTATCACATATCTTATTTAGCAATAACAGGGGAATACAATTAATTTTCCTTTGGAAAATTTTCAGGATCACCTAGCTACTTGTAAACTTTTTGAGATTTCCGTCTTCAGCAGCTTCAGTGAAAAATGTATCAATTCAAGTCATTACGTACAATGATATGTTTATGATGAAGCATGTTTTCCTCATCTGGTTCTCCATCCAAACATAACTTGCCTTTTCGAATTCATGTCTTATGAATTTTTGGGACTTGTGATTCAAGTACAATTGATCCAATATCATATTGTGATATATTATGATTGAGTCCAATATCATATTATGCTTGACATGATTGTAGAAGTAAGGGCAGAATTGTGATTTTCCTTTTATTAAGGAAAATCTAAAGGATTGCAAAAATAGAATTAGAAATAGAATATAGTTTTTGGATCTAGGTGGTATTTTCAGGCCACATGAGGGCTAAATATCTGAGGCTGTTTATTATGAGTTGTAATAAAGAATAGGATAAACATTCAACAGGAAATGCCCTTTATGTTTTACAAATCACTTTTCTTTATGTTACCTCTTTTTTGACCCTCATCACAATCTTGAAGGAGATAAGTGGGAATATATTTTACTGATAAGAATTGTTTCCTTATCGTTTCTTATTATTATAGTAATAAATGACTAATGGGTAGAATGGGAGATGGGTCTTCTGCTTTGTATTCTATTTTCTTGGGCAAATCTTTTAGCCTCTCAATTCTGTCTTCTATTAATGTAAAGTGTTAGACCAGATAACGTCTAAGTGAGATCTCTTCCTGCTCTTCTAATTTTTTTTTTTACTCAGTTCTGCTTCCACAAACCAGTAAGTTCTTCACAATTTCTCAGTGATATCAAGGGACACACAGATGAAGGAAATCCACAGGGGACATTTGTTTAATCAAGAAGCACATGTTCGCTGACAAGCATGAGTGCTGTTGCCTCTTGTGGCTCCAAGTATTTGTTTTCTGATTAATATCACCCTTTCCTGAGCAGTCTACATGGGTTTGAGAGAAAATTTTTTAAAAACTTAAACAACTAAATGGGAAACGAGTAAACATGTCATTTGTTACAGACCTTTCTTGGGAGGTAAAATGGAATTGCATCCAAAATCTGTGATCTTCACTACCATTCTGCTGTCTACCACGCAGTTGGTGGACTTCAGACGACCGTGGACTTCAGTCTTACTGGAGTGCAGATATGACATCCCCTGTTATTTTTTCAGATAACAGGAAAACAAAGAAATGCGACATGCTTGATTATTTTAAAGAAAGAAGTGACGTTTTGAAATCATTTTGGCATAGACATAGTCACATCATCAGATTTTAAATTTAATGCCATTGATTCTACTTTTAAAAATATTGTTAAAGCCCTAATATTTGCTTACACACTGTATCTAGTTTTGAAGTCTATGTAAGTGGCAGAGTAAAAAAGGTAATTGTCTGAAAACTTTGGATTAGTGGTTGTATATAATATAATATGAGGTGAAGGGTTGATTTGGAAAAATAAATCTGCGTACTGCTTATTTGGTCTTTGACGCTGAGTATGTCTGGTCCGCTATTACTTCAGTTTGAAAATATGATAATAAAACCTTGCTGTTCTGAAAGGAGGGGCTAGGCTATATTTATTCAAAAAATGGAATTGGTTTCAGCCTATTTTGAAATAGAATGTTTCTTTCCTTTTGTTTGTAAAGAGGAAGCCCATTGTTGGCGGGTGTGCTGCCCCCTGGTGGTTAGAGGCGTCTCAGCAGAACCTGGTTTTCAGCCTGGATCGCCTGTGTGTATAGCAAATGGACTACTGTAACATTTTTTTGAACTGACTCTAAGCCTCTGTGGCTTTCAGGTGATTTATAACTGTATCAAACAGCTCACTCTCAGGACCAGCTTTTCTTCATTCTTGAATGAGGCCCCAGTTACTGGTGTCCTTTTCTGTTTTCACTTGTGGGAATATACATGTCCAAATTTATCCTTTGTGCAAAATGGCTAACATTTTCTCTTATAAAGTAGAGAATTCAGTTGTCACCCCTAAAGTTTTATGTTTCTGATTTCTGGAAAATCTGTGAAAATGCATTCCCTACACCCAAGAGACAAAGAATATAATAATAATAAAAGAAAACACCCAACAATACATATGAAACCAGGCTTTGCAGTAAGCACGTGCATTATTTCATAAAGTTCTCACAACAGCTCTGTGACATGGCTCCTATTATTATTATCATTTCACAGATGAAGAAACCAATGCACAGAGGTTGAATAACATGCTTGATCTGTATTCCTATATTTAATATTCACAATTTTTTTTTCGTGTTTGTTGGTCTCTTACCTTAGCAATGTCATACAAGACAGAAATCTTAAATTCCCAATCCATGAAAGTACCATCAGGGTAGGAAATTGTGTCATTTAAAACTTCCTGAATGGGGGGGGGGAGAGAAAAAAGATGCATTGTTGAAAGGAAGGAAGGATATTGTGGAGAGATGATTATGAGCCAGAGAATGACCTTCTAATCATGAAACCTTAGGATCAGGAACAAATTGGAACACCATCGTCCTGGTCTTCATGAACACCTATTCTTTTCTTCTCTATGTAAGAAGTGTTGAGTGGTTTTACCACAAGGAGGTGAGCAGGAGGTACGCATAACACCCTGAATCCCAGTTCTTTCATCAGATGGGATAAAGGAACGAGCAGCCCCCACCTGGAGAGTGGGCTGGCAAGCCTGCTTGACAAATGGCTGCACTTTGTGTTCTGTCTCATCCAAATTGGACTATTGCTTTTGGTTTTTGAGACTAGGTCTTGCTCTGTCTCCTGGGCTAGAGTGTGGTGGTGTCATCATAGCTCACTGCAACCTCAAACTTCTTGGCTCAATCAATCCTCCTGCCTTTGCCTCCCAAGTAGCTGGGACTACATGTACCATAATGCCCTGCTAATTTTTTGTAGAGATGGGGTTTGCTATGTTACTCAGGCTGGTCTCGAACTCCTGGCCTCAAATGATCTTCCTGCCTTAGGCTCCCAAAGTTGCTAGGATTTCAGGCGTGAGCTACTGTACCTGGCTTAGACTATTGTTTTTTAACTAGGAATTGGTATTATTGGTATTAGAAAATTTCTTCATTGGGCTTATGTTTTTACTCACATTATCAGTTGAATCCAGAAACATAATCACTCTTATTTTATTTTTTTTACATTTACTAAGTCCCTTGTCAATCAGAGAGAGATTTAATTTA